ACACACACACACACAAATTGCATGCACACACCATCACAAAGCATCCATAAACAAAAAGAAATATAGATAAGCAATATAACAGAAGGTACAGGGTTCCCCAGGTTTGTGTGGTTGAGCAGGATTTTTCTACATGTGTGGGTGTGGGTGTGCATGATCGCTGAGTTTCCGTGTTTGTGTGTGCATGATTGCTGGGTCCCAAACGGTCCCAAACGGTCCCAAACGCACCTTGTACAAGGGATTCGGGATCCGTTTCCGAGATATTTCTGAGCCTCTGTTGCTCTCTTGGGTCTGGCACACCCATCTTCTCCACAAGCACCTGTGGGACACACAAGCCGTCACGCAGACTTTGATCAGTATCCGAACGGAGCACGTGTGGTCACTTGATCGAAGTGGGCATCTGTGGAATGAGTTAGAGTATAGCCTGCGCTTATCCGATGCTTAGATCCCTTCCTCAATTCAATTAATAAATTATAACACCGATGTCCATCGAGGCATCTGAAAAAATTGGAACGAATACACAGAACATTAGCATGGCCCCAACCTTCAAATAAACAAGGCCCCAACCTTCAAATAAACAATAAAAAAAAGGAAAAAAAAAGAGTCTGGTGGGTGTTCTGCGGACTGTATACATTTCACTGTGGTTCTCCTCAATTCCAAAATTGGCCAAAATTTAACTGTGGTTCTCCTCAATTCCAAAATTGCCCAAAATTAATTACATGAAGAAGAGATTCCTTTCTTGGCCATTTGACAACAAAAGTGGATCAAGTGAAATGTATCTGTTCTGATCAGTTTAAAAATATCTGCTCCGCGCTCCATCGGGCGGCCACTTTCGTTTTTCCTTTTTGCAAGGGGAAAAAAAAAAAAAAAAAACACCAAGAGATGACACTATAGCAGGACTGCAGTTCTCTTACACACAAGTCCAGAGAAAACTGTCTTAGAATCAGACAACAACTCCTGGAGCATACCCGCACCAGGGCTTTCTTTTTGACCTACACTCTGGACGTAATGGCGCTCAGATACATCCAGCTCATGGTAGACTTCCGGTCAAAATACATCCAGGAAAAAGAGTCCCTACTGTGAGTATTTTTCCCCATAACACTCCAAAACTGAAAAAAAAAAGAAAAGAAGAAACGCGCTCTTTAAAAAAAAAAAACGAACACCCTTGGGTTCCCCTAAAAATAAAAAAAAATAAAAAAATCACCTTCAGTGCTGCCTCTGTCCGTTGCAGAATCCATCCAGGAAAAAGTGTCCCTAGTGTGAGTATTTTTCCCCAWAAAACTCCAAAAAAAAAAAAAAAAAAAAAAAAAGCGCTCTCTTTTTTTTGAGGAAAAACGAACACCCTTGGGTTCACCTAAAAACAAAAAAAACAAAAAAATCACCTTCAGTGCTGCCTCTGTTGGCATGCCCGTTGCCCTGACTGCGTTGTTCTTGTAGACCAGTCCCGCATCATTACAACACGCACAAATGGACGCAATGACTTCAAGGTTCTCGTCGAGGTTCCCTGGCACCCATCGGTCTAAAATGCACCCGTCCTTTGGATTATACGTGGTCCCATCGACGGTCCATTCGCGCAACACGTCTTCCTGGATGAAGCACAGGACAGGACAACCGACAACAAGGAAATCCCGTGTAAAGCGAGAATTAGCCTGTAGGCTACCAGAGTGGGCCCAGGACCCCTTGGCCAGCCGGGCTAAAAAAAGGTTTAAGAAAATCAGAACAGAAAAAAAAAAACTTGTAATTTTATTTGTACTAGATTCGACAGTGATTCCATCGACGGTCCACTCCTGCAACTCCTCTTCCCGCAGTAAGCAGAGGAAAACAAGAAAAAAAAATCCAATGTAAAGCCCGAATGAGCCAAGGCAAAAAAAAAAAAAAAAAAAAAAAGGAAAAGCCAAAAAGGCTACCAGAGCAGCGGTTCGATCGAGGAAGCGGATCAGGAGCGGTCCGTCTGGCTGGTGCGCGAAACTGCTGCACGCATAATAGAGTTTCGGAGGCTGACGGCCGCGTCGGTTGGCGGTACCTTAGTGCGCTAATGTGCACTAAGGCGGCGCTAACGCAGGGGAGCAAATGGCAATATCGGAATTACCGAGGTCACACCTCGGGAGTTAGCAGCCAGAGGCCGCGGAGGCGAGAGCTATGGACTAGCTAAGTGGCAATCGTTCGAAGTATCTCTGCTTCCGCGTGGTATGTTTAGTACTGCGTTTCCCCTTGAGAAGATCAAGCGGCAGGGAGATGCTGTCCGCCGGAGAAGGCTGTCATGAGCTCGGAAGATGGAACGTTTCATTGGCAGTGCAAGCCCACGCAAGATTGGGTTCTACTACGTGAAGGATTGGCAGCAGCGTCAGCGGGAGCAGTGGGAGAGCTCGTGATGGCGGTGGGAGTGCTGTTCACAATGCCAAGGAGACAACGTGCTTTACTTTACTTTGCATCTAGCCATACTGGTGTGCCACATCTCTTACCTTTGCTCAGCCCTCTTTCCAAGGAGGATTCATCGGGAGATTCGCACGAGAAATCCAGCGTCGGCCGTATCGGGATATCTTGTATTACACTTTATGCCTGGATCACTGACGTATATTCGATTTCTCGATCCGTTATTGATAAGTTGGAATCACTCATTTACATGCTTATGAATTATAATAATCACCGTTCTGGGCTGGATCCCTCTAGTTAGCCTCGCATTTTTTTTTAGTCAGGTCACTGGATTGGATGAGAATCTTACATTGTAGAGGATTGTTTTATATTTATTTATTGGGTTTTAATGTGCTTCACGTCAACACCGAGGGTTTTTCTCATATTTTCGGTGGAACTGCAATATCTAACGAGCCTACTAGGAGGGATGAGGTGCCGTGTTTTGGAGGACTTGCTTGTAATTTGAACAGATCTCAAAATCTGACCACCTGAATTGGGCTGGAAAGTGGGTAGAATCTTCAGAGTTAAAGAGTTCAAGCTATCTTGATAGCGTAACCAGGGTCCTCTGCCAACAGGTTCCCTTGTCATTCTTTTACCTTGGTTTGCTCGTGGGATACCAACAGGTTCCCTCGTCATTTTCCTACCTTGGTTTGCTCGTGGGATATTTTAGGTTTTGGGTATCTGTACTTGGTGCCATTCTTGGGATAGGTACAGGTTTTTACCATCTTCATGATTGAAATGGGGCTTTATCTACCTACAATTACATCTTATCTTACTTGATTTATATATTCGGAAGGCTTCTGCATGTCTCTAACCGTAGATATTGGTTAGTTCACACTCTCCTCTAGTTCCTACTTGAGCACACACTTACGTTTCAAGTGTAGTTTTCAAGTGTAGTTTTCAAGTGTAGTTTTCAAGTTTAGTTTCCTCGTTTCTCTCTGCTCCATGTTTTAAGTTTTGATGCGTTCCATTTGGGTGTCTTTCACAGTCGTTGGCATTTTATGGAATTTGATTTTACTTGCAATCGAACCTTGCTCCGCATGGCGTATCTAGCAGCAACCAAGGGTGGATGCAAAAGTTCTGTTGATGCTCTCTCAGGTTTCCAGGCGAGAACCTATGGCTGATTTCAGCCAAGAAGAAGAGCCTTAGCAATGTACAAGGAGAGATCCTGGGATCTGTGGAGAATGCTTTCTCACTGGAATGTACTACCTGGCCCCGACAGTACGCTGGATTCTAGGCTTGTCGTACCTCGTTACTGGAGATATCCTGAGATCTTTAGACAGCCTTTAGGCCCACTGCTTATCATTTAAATCTTGGTATAAAAAATGCGTGTTTTTATGTTCGTATTTTTGAAAGCTCGTGGTTGGTAGGGGGCCGCGCAAGACGAGTGAAGCTACCAGTGAAAAGGTTAAACCACCTACTACTTGGCCCAGCTATCGGCCGTGACGCTTCCCTGTTAACGCGCCGCGCCTGTCGGGCTTCGGGGTACTGGACCACAATGGCTGGAAGCGCCAGCCAAAAAAAGTTGAAACGGTGCCCCGGCGGTTCGGCGAAACTTGGCGCGCAGGGGGTCGGCCTCGGGGTACTGGACCACAATGGCTGGAAGCGCCAGCCCAAAAAAGTTGAAACGATGCCCCGGCGGTTCGGCGAAACTTGGCGCGCAGGGGGTCGGCCGGCTTGGCATCAATAGCTGGGCAAGTACTGGTGGTTTAAAACAGGTCCCAGTTGCCTTTAGTGTGCCTATTAGCACACGTCTCTTCCGCCAGCGAGGACGGGAGGAACTGCTCCCATACATTTTCTTAGTTCTGTCTGACTGTATTTGCACAGCGGTTTACGATGAAGAGTGTAGAGGCTGTTCCAGTGTGGTTCAGGGTGAATCCCTTGGAGATGTCAGCCGCGGCGCTACCACAAGCAGAGAGAGAGAGTGATGGTGGCGGTGGGAACGCTACTGGTTAGGTGGTAGGACCGGTGAAGAGCAAACTTGAGTTGAGTCGTACCCATTGTGATTGCTCTATTCACAAAGATCCAAGCATGCGTGGTGGGTAAAACCCGTCATGGCAACTCAGGCCCTTTGCAGTTTGTTGGACAGCATAGCAAGGACAAGGGAAAAAGCTCTGAAGAGTTGATGGGATTATCGATCCTGGGATAAACTAGCTGTGTCGCATATTCGTTTTGGATCTGCTGTTTCCTAAGTGTAGACTTGGTGTTCTAGGGATTCCATATAGGTGCTGCAGTTCTAGTGGATCATTAAAGCTCTGCTGTTTTCTAAGTGTAGACTTGGTTGGTGTTCTAGGGATT